AAGTTCACTCAAACTCAACAACCACCCCAGAAATCAACTTCTGTTGTCCCCTCTCAGAAAACCAACCAACCCCAACGTGTTTTGTTCAGATCACAGCTCACTCATCCAGACCCCACTTGAAGGCAGCCCTCAAAGCACTATCCCTTCAAACAACTGCCTACCTCCTGGCACAATAGGAGTTCCACAGCAGCATTTTGGCCCTGTAGCGGCCCGTAATGCAGCGTAGCATAGCAAAAACCCACTAACATTTTGCTAACACTACACAATTTTGGTGTGCAAAAAAGACCGCTACGCTAATGCTTTTTGGGAAAAAAGTGTAGCCGCCCACCATTGTATGTACCCTAATTTTTGACTTCTGTGTGCCCTGAAAAAAAAGTCCAATACCCTGTTTCCTGCTAACCTACAGGATACGGCCTTACACGGGGGTGAAGAATCACAATGATCAAAATATTTTGGTCTTGGTTAAAACTGGGGTTCAAGTACAAGTTATGATTGAGAAGCGCTTAGTTTCTGTGTTTGCGTGTTTTACACTCTACATATACATTCTAGATACACATCAGTATGATTCTGGACACCTTGGGATAGACATACCACTGAATTAGGAACAAGTTCAGATCAACTTTGAATCAACATCTTGAAGGGTTTGAACAAACTCTATGAAGTGGTTATGCAATGGCACTTGTCAGAAGGTGTCAAGTAAACTCCCTTGGTGAATGTAGTGCAGTTGATTCTTTCCCTGATACATTGATATTATTTGTAGTGGCAAATTTTTCTTTCAGCCAGTAATGTAATGGTGAATTCTTTGTGCGTAATGAATGGATAAAGTAATGCATTATCAAATTATCCAGAGGTTAAGAAACCCTTAACACATTTTAAGTGGCAAAAAGCCTCTCTTTTTGAGCTCTAGCAGCAACACATGTCATGAATGTCCAAAAAGTATCACATGCTATCACATGTCTTACTAATATTTATGGAATTTTTTCAAAAAAAAAACAAGTTACTGATAGTTTAATGAGCAAGGAAAAAAATTCCAAGGCAAAATGGATAATATAATGTGCAAACAATTTCCAAATATTATGGGGAAAGTAATGATAAAGAGTGGAAACTCACTACTTTATATTTACACTACCATTACAGGTAATGTAACTACCCAGTGTTGGCTTTATGCTTCTACTGAAGCTTTTTCATAGACTAGCCCTCATTACCCCAAAAAACAAATCACCTTTGAGTGTATCCCATTGTCTGTTGAAATGTGTACAATGTGTTGGCGCTGAAGTAAAACCCATTGCAACATGAACTAGAATGCAGACTGCGGATGCAGCAGTAAAAACAGCGGTGGGCCGCTACACTTTTGGCCCAAAAAGCATAGTGTAGCAGCACTTTTTTACGCCAAAAATATGTAGTGTTAGCGGATTTCCAGCGGATTTTTGCTATGCTATGCTGCGCTACAGGGCCAAAAAACCACTAACCAGTGGGTTAGCATAGCGTAGTGGGCCCTTTTTTGGGGCCTATGCGCATAGTGTTAGTGCAAGATGTGGTGGAATTCCGCTACGCTACACTACCAGTTTTAGCTGAATTCCACTACACTATGCTACACTAACACTAAGGTTAG